GACTTTGGTAAGTTAGAACATGCCTTGAGTATTGACATGCTTACATGAGAATGGTTGGATGCTAGAATGGTGTGTAGAGGTTGTGTGCTTCGAATTGAGGAGCAAGAGTTAATTGTAGATTTGGTTGTGTTAGACATGAAGGGGTATGACATAATATTTGAGATGNCTTACATGAGCATGGTTGGATGCTAGAATGGTGTGTAGAGGTTGTGTGCTTCGAATTGAGGAGCAAGAGTTAATTGTAGATTTGGTTGTGTTAGACATGAAGGGGTATGACATAATATTTGAGATGAACTTGTTGTCTACCTTCCATGCGGTAATGGATTATTTTTGTAAACAGATTTTATTTCAATTACCAGGAGGTGTAATTTTCAGTTTCATGAATGATCAAAATTCTTCCCATCCATTTTCTACTATGAGTAATAGATTCTTGAAAGTTCAAGCGGGGAGTAATTTGAGTTTCTTGGCCAGCTTAATGGGTGGTGATTAGGATAAATTCCATGCGAATGTGGTGTTAATAGTATCGGATTTTTTGGATGTCTTCCCAGATGAACTACCCTGGTTACCCCCACAGAGAGAGATTGAGTTTACAATCGATCTATATCCGGGAACTGAACCCATATCCATTGCTCCCTATCGGATGGCACCTTTGGAGTTGAATGAGCTAAGGAAGCAGTTGGACCAACTATTGGCTATTGGGTTTATCCGCTTAAGCACTTCACCTTGGGGAGCTCTGGTCCTCTTTGTGAAGAAACATAATGAAACACTTCAGTTATGCACGGACTACCGAAGGTTGAATCGAGTAACAGTGAAGAATAAATATCCATTGCCACGAATAGATGATTTGTTCGATCAGCTGAGGGGTTCTAAGTATTACTCCAAAATTGATCTTCGCACAGGGTACCATCAATTGCGGATTAAGGAGGAGGATATTCCTAAGACAGCTTTTCATACCCATTATGGTTATTTCAAATATACGGTAATGTCGTTTGGATTGACTAATGCTCCAGCAGCCTTTATGGACTTGATACATAGGGTATTTCGGACATATCTGGATCAATTTGTCATTATGTTTATTGATGACATATTAATCTATTCACGGACACAAGAGGAACATGCACGCCATCTCTCGATTGTACTACAGACATTGAGAGAGCATAAGCTATATGCCAAGATGAGTAAATGCGAGTTCTAGATGAAGGAAGTGAAATTTCTTGGCCATGTTGTGTCGGAACAAGGTGTAGTTATTGTCCCCGCAAAGATTGAAGCCGTGATGAAATGGGAACCACCGAGGAATGTGATCGAAGTACGTAGTTTCTTGAGATTAGTAGGCTACTATCGGAGGTTTGTGGAAGGGTTCTCGAAGATAGCTATGCCAATGACTTGCCTTATGAAGAAAGGGAAAAAATTCTTATGGACTCAAGGGTGTGAACAAGCCTTTCGCACCTTGAAGGAAAAGTTGACAATAGCTCCTGCCCTCATTATTCCGAGTAGTGGGGAAGGATACGATGTTTACACCAATGCTTCGTTACGAGGCTTGGGATGTGTTTTAATGCAAGAAGGTAAGGTAGTTGCTTATAGCTCGAGACAACTGAAGATCCATGAGAAAAATTGTCCCACCCATGACTTAGAGCTTGCAGCTGTGATTTTTTCTCATAAGTCGTGGAAGTGTTACCTATATGGAGAAAAGTTTCAAGTGTTTTCTGATCATAAGAGCCTCAAGTACATCTTCATACAGAAATACTAGAATCTTCGTCAAAGAAGGTGGATTGAATATCTAGAAGACTATAAGTTCACACTCAACTACCACCTGGGGAAGGCTAATATAGTAGCAGATGCACTTAGCAGAAAGTCTCAGGGTGAAATCAATGTCCTTGCTATTAATAGGTGGAAGATGATTGATTCCTTGGAGGAGTTTGACCTATGGGTGGATAGACAGGGGGATTGATCGTGCTTATTTAATCTCGTAGCTCAACCAATTCTTCGACAAAAGATTATGGAGTTGCAACAATTAGATACAGAGTTGGAAACTATCCAGGGTAGATTGGAGAGGAATGAGATGATTGAGCACTGGGCAATACATAATGATGAGTTACAGTTTCATGGGAGACTACGTGTACCAAACAATAACCAGGTAAGGGAAGAAGTGTTGGGTGAGTGCCATCGTTCAAAATTCTCTATACATCTGGGTAGTATTAAGATGTATAAGGACATGAAGTGTCAATATTGGTGGGAAGGGATGAAACAAGATGTGGCCAAGTACGTTGTGAAGTGCATGGTGGGTCAGCAGGTGAAGATTGAGCATCAAAAATTCGGAGGATTATTACAGTCCTTACCTATCCTAGAGTGGAAGTGGGATCACTTTCCCATGGATTTTGTGTCGGGTTTACCACAGACGTCACGAGGGCATAATGCCGTATAGGTCATCGTAGATAGACTCACCAAGGCAGCGCATTTCTTAAGAATGAAGACCACTGACACTTTAGAGACCTTGAGCAAGCTTTATATCTGTGAGATTGTTCGATTACATGGCGTTCCACTCTCTATCGTGTAGGATCGTGATTCCTGTTTCGTGGCACAATTTTGGCAAAGTCTATAATGCGCTATGGGGATAGAGTTACACTTTAGCACTTCCTTTCATCCCCAAACGGATGGCCAATCTGAAAGGGTGATATAAATTTTGGAGGACATGTTACGAGCTTGTGTGTTGGATTTCAAGGGAAGTTGGAGCGATCATTTGCCGTTGGTAGAATTCGCAAACAACAACAACTTTCAATCTAGCATTGGCATGGCACCATATGAGGCACTGTATAGAAGACCATGTAGGTCCCCGACTTGTTGGTTGGAAACAGGAGAGAGTAGCTCGTTTGGGCTAGAGATTGTTCGGGAGACTATGGAGAAAATTCAACTCATCCAAGAAAGATTATGCACAGCACAAAGTAAACAAAAAAGCTATGTGGATAGAAGACGAAGACCATTGGAATTCCAAGAGGGGAGCTATGTGTTCCTCAAAGTGTCATCCAAAAATGGGGTGTTCAGATTTGGCAAGAGGGGAAAGTTAGCTGCAAGGTACATTGGACCATTCGAAGTGATCAAAGCGGTGGGCAAAATGGCGTATCAACTTCGGTTACCAGCTCAGCTGTCAGGGGTACATGACGTGTTCCATGTGTCAATGTTAAGAAAGTGTCAAACGGATACAACGCATGTCGTGGATTTGGAGGATATTGAAATTCAAGATGGAGCAAGATATGAAGAACAATCAGTGAAGATTCTCGACACCAAGGAGAAGGTGCTTCGCAACAAAGTCATTCAACTGGTGAAAGTCTTGTGGCAACACCATGGAGTGGAGGAAGCTACTTGGGAATCAGATCTAGAGATGCGAGAGAAGTACCCCCATTTGTTTGCTGCTTGAGATAAGTTTCGAGGACGAAACTTTCTTTAAGGGGGGTGGATTGTAAATCCCCACACTGTTATTCTAATAAGTAGTAAGTAAATATATGAAATTTTTGTAATTGAACTAGTACCAACTATGTTTGATGTCTAAATGTATGTTGTATAAGTTTGGGTTTGTTTTGGAAAGGTTTGGAATGGATTGGAAATGAAAAACAAAGGAAACAAGCAAAACTGAACAAACTGTACCAGTACTGCATACCGGTACGCCCGGAAGTTACTATACCGGTACATCGTACTACTTGACAAAATTCCTTGTAGTTTTCTAACTTCTAAACATCACCTTTTAGCATGTATAGTATATGGATGAAGGGAAGTGTCACTCTACTATGGATAATGTCAAAAGAAAGGGCAAGGAGATGGGTGAAAACGAAATGATGGTAATGCGATATGTAAATGCACAAAATGTGTGTACCTGTACAAAAGTGCTCCCCAAGCGCAAGGAGATTTTTGCGGGTCATGTTTTACTTGGTGGTATTCCAAGGTCGTTTCCATGGGGAAGGAAGTAAACAGAGGGGAAGGTGATTTTGGGAGAAAGAAAGTGTAAAATCTTTGGTTGTTGCAAGTTGTTTGGTGAAGTTTGTTTTGATGCTAATAAAATGAGAAACAAATATTGGCAAATCCAAGAGGTCACTCCAATAGGAATACCGTCTCAACTTGAAACCCTCCTCTAATGGAGTATAAATGAACGATTGATTCGTGGGAAGCTAGGGATAAGATTGGTGAGTATCTAAGCATAAACCGTGACTAGGCCTACGGAATATCAAAGACTCACCAANTATTGGCAAATCCAAGAGGTCACTCCAATAGGAATACTGTCTTAACTGAAAACCCTCTTCTAATGGAGTATGAATGAACGATTGATTCGTGGGAAGCTAGGGATAAGATTGGTGAGTATCTAAGTATAAATTGTGACTAGGCCTACGGAATAACAAAGACTCACCAATTTATCCACCCTCAACCCAGTCAAATCGAACCATTGCACTTTGAAAGAACGGAGGAGAATAAGTTGAAATGGTATACCCAAGTGGAGGTTCCCCTTGGTTTTGCCAACTAAAAGATTNTGTCCACCCTCAACCCAGTCAAACCGAACCATTGCATTCCGAAAGAAGGGAGGAGAATGAGTTAAAATGGTATACCGAAGTGGAGGTTCCCCTTGGTTTTGCCAACTAAAAGATTTAGCTACTCATGCTTAAANCTGAAGTGGAGGCTCCCCTTGGTTTTGCCAACTAAAAGATTTAGCTACTCATGCTTAAAATGAAATTGACAATGTAATGAGGATGCATTGTAAAGATAAGAAGTTCTAGAGTAACTAGATACAAGAAAACATAAGCTATAAGAGAATATATTAAATACCCATTTAAAAACTAAGAAAATGAAGAACTTTGATGCATTAATGGTGAAAGCTTTAAAAGAGCATTAAACTTGCGTTGAACTTGAAGGAAAACAACATTAATGACATTAAATGAAGTTCTAAAGATTCATATATGGGATTACAAGACAATGTATTGAAAGGAATGCAAAAAACTCAATTTTCTCTTACTAGAACATTATTCATCATCTTCCATGGCCATCATCCCCTGCACTGATGCCTCAATCCCATGCACTGTTGCTTCAAGTGCATCAAGACGTTGGGGTACTGAGCGTGCTAGTGCAGTAGTGGATGAAGATGGGCCGGGGGCCTCAGACTCAGATCCCAATGTCATGGCCTGCTCTCCCTTACTCATTGTTTTTCTCTTTTTACTACTAGTTTTCCCAACAGCCCCCGTCTCGAGAGGAGTGATCTTATCAAATGCATAGCCCTTGACTTTGAAGTGATCGCACATCTGGGTAAACATACTCCCGTATGGCAAATTNCGTTGGGGTACTGAGCGTGCTAGTGCAGCAGTGGATGAAGATGGGCCGGGGGCCTCAGACTCAGATCCCAATGTCCTGGCCTGCTCTCCCTTACTCATTGTTTTTCTCTTTTTACTACTAGTTTTCCCAACAGCCCCTGTCTCGAGAGGAGTGATCTTATCAAATGCATAGCCCTTGACTTTGAAGTGATCGCACATCTGGGTAAACATACTCCCGTATGGCANCAGCCCCCGTCTCGAGAGGAGTGATCTTATCAAATGCATAGCCCTTGACTTTGAAGTGATCGCACATCTGGGTAAACATACTCCCGTATGGCAAATTTGTTAGTGGCTTCGTTGTCTCTGCAAACTCCTTTATCATTTCCCATATAAAGAGTGCAAAGTCAATTATTTTTCCTGACACAACAACATCTAACAAGGCTAACTTCTCCATATTTGGCTTCTTTTCTGAAGCTCTTAGGAGTAAATTGTAGTGGAGGAGTTTGTTCAGAAGTCCATACATATGCTTTAACCCTCCACTTTGGAAAAGTCCCTTGAATGTGGTGGGGTCCTTATACATTAGCTCCACGAACTCCGCTCGAGTCTTGGCTCTAGTGATATTGTGAGGATAGACAGGCAGGAAGGATGGTGGTCTCTTGTATCCTCCAAGAAGTGTGGCAATAACATTGGGTGTCACATCGAACACCTTGCCCCGTACATTGGTTCGCAACACCTCCACTTCATTCACCTCAACCACCTAGAGTGATTGGTAGAATTCCCTAACCAGTGACAAATTATAACTCTCAACTTGCTTGAACCAGAAGTTCATACCATGGCCCTCAATGATTTTCATGGCTTCATGTCTAGGGGTGAGTGAAATGAAATCAAGGTGGCGCTTATAGGTCATACCCTTCCCTTGAATCCACTGGCGTCGTGCATCCTTCTTGGCCTTCTTTCTTTGCACATTTGGGTCCTCACTTTACCCTTCACCGCTCCTCTTGCGGCTCTCAGGATTCTTAGTTGGAGGGGAGAGGGGCCTAGGTCCAGGTCTCTTGGTTTGGGCCATGAAGTGCAACAGTGCCCCCATCAAGATAACTGCCAAGAAAGTCAAGAAATGACCCTCAATCGGGTCTATGACCTCAAGGCAAACATCATAGTGACGAGCCATTAGGGATTTTGTGGAGAGATTTGAGAAAAATAGGGAATTGGAGAAATTCGGCACCTAGGGTTCCCAGGCGTCGATTGCACAAAATCAAGGCTTAAAGAGAGAGTGGGTTTATGGATTGAAAGGGAAACAAGGGGTTTTTAGATGCCTAGGATGTTTTCGAGTGAGAGAGAGGGGTTTAGGGTTGAAATTAGAAGTGGAAAGTGAAGGGTTCACCGAAGGATCTAAATTAAAAAGCCCTAATTAATTTCATTTTAGCAGACCGTACTGGTACGCTGAATTCCAGAGGCTGGACCATAACGGTACTGCATACCGGTATGCTATGTTCCAGAGACTAAGCCGTACCGGTATGCAATACCGGTACGCTTCTGCTTTGTTTGCCAAAATACTCCTGTTGAGTACACCACTCCACTCCATTCCAACTCAGGACCTCCCTAGACATTCTACCACATTACTTATGACCTCTACTCCATCCCAATGATGTACTTCACTTATAAACCACAATCCGAACCATCATGCCCAACTTATTACTGAAATTGCACAGTTATTTAAACCTTTAATGCATGCAACATACAATGAATGGATTCCTAATCTTAACTATCAAAATGAACACTAAAAATGCAAATCACATAATTAAAAACATGGGTATTCCTAATTCATCTTAAATATCAAAAACTTGAGCAATATTCCCTATTTTGCAGGTATGGAACTAATTAACACATTTCTCAGATGATTTAACTAAGCACATATAAGTAAGACCATAGTCTCAAATACAAGTCCAAAGTATGCACCTACAAATTCATTTTCAACTCGTGTGTGTGTGAATTAACAAGTAATTTGAGCATTTCCGTAACAGAATTCACACTCAAATAGCTAGCCAAATTCAGCTTCAATGTAAAACTCACCAAGGTTCACTCATAAACAAAGAAATACACTCAAGTTATCCTGGTATGCACTCCATGTGAGATAGAATCTTGCGTTCAAAACAAAGTGTGGTCACATGTAATCCAAAAATGAAGTTCACATATGAAAATGAAGTGACTTTGGCATAATCTCATGAAAAGAATGCTAGGGCATTGAATAGTAAAACTAACTCATCATTTTCTTTAAAGCTATGCACCTCCCATGCTTCCCTAGATCAATGAGGACTTTTAAGAGTTATAATGAGGCCTTGGGGTGGTATCTAGGTAAATGAGATGAAGGATATAGGATAACAAAGAGGGTTGTTCCGAGTGAATGACCTTTATTTCAANTGGTATCTAGGTAAATGAGATGAAGGATATAGGATAATAAAGAGGGTTGTTCCGAGTGAATGACCTTTATTTCAAAAAGATCTCCCTTTTTATAGGATTTCTAGGCTAACACCATCACTTCACTCTTTGTTTCTTTTCTTTCTTTTCCTTAACAATTTTCTTTTCTTTTGATCATTCTTTCTTATTTTCACCCCTTTTCTTCTTTTTCTTGGATTTTCATTCTTTTTCCAATGAACTCTTTGAGTTTCACTTTCATTCATCCCTTGCTTGGATTTTCACACCACACTTCCTTCTCTTTTATGATCATTCATACTTAGCACTAGGAACAACCAAGATGAGATAGATATTTATCATTTTGCATTAGCTTGGTCAAATGTGTGGCATAGAAACAAATTTTCAACAAGACTTAAACATGGCACTAGGGATAAATCATTTCTCAAGAAAAAAGGGCAAAGGCCAAAATATTCAAGGATGGCCTAAGATCACTTCCAGGTCCCCATGGAATGGCATTATACAATCAAGATGAGTCAGCCCACTATCCAAATGCACCTAACCAAAACAAGTGTGATGAGATTATTCAACAAATTTGACATTGAAAAATCGTTCTTTGAGTAAATGTAAGTTCCCTCCCAAAAATTTTTGGCACTAAAACTCTCATGGGTCCTTACTCATCTCCATTACTTATGTCAAGCTTAAAACATGAATCCAATCTGCAAATTACTGAAATTACACATTCAACAGTCACATGAGTTCAAAAATCAATACATATGTGATACTCACGCCTAGGATCAATTTCTATAGTATGCTCATGTGCTCAAAGTTCACAACAACGATCAATATGTCATTCAACTCACACACTCTTCATAAGGGAATACAGGTCAACAATCAGATATTTTTCATCAAAAATTTTCAAAATTTTCACTAATGCAAGCACAAATCTGTATCACAAAAATTTCACACAAATTTCCTAACAACCTTGGTGTATCATGCAAATGGTGCGTCTCACCCCCAACTTGAATCATGCATTGTCCTCAATGCAACAAAAAGATATAATATGCAATGAAGGACAGTAAAAATATGAATAGGGTTAGAGAACACCTCGCGATTGAGTTTCAACAAAAGAACCAAGATCTGAAACTAAGAAAACAATGCTATACAATCAACAAAAGTAAGTGACATGAAATAGAAATAACATAAGTAACTAAAATTAACTGTACACTAGAAATCATAAACACTAGCTAGTCCTCCATCAAATCTGGATATACGAGATCCGTTAAATCTTCCGCCACTTCTTTCCCTTCAAAACCCTCGAAGAATGGCTTAAGTCTTTGGCCATCGAACTTGAATGTTTGGCCATCTTCAGGGTTTGTGATCTCAACTACTTCGTTGGGGTAGGCCACCTTTACAAGGTAGGGGTCATCCCAATGGGATTGGAGTTTTCCGTAGAAAATTGAGAGGCGAGAATTGTAAAAGAGCACTTTTTGACCGGGCCAAAATGATTTCTGTACAATGGAATTATTGTGAAAGATCTTAGCCCGTTCCTTTGAGATTTTGGAGCTCTCATACGCATCTCATCGAATCTTTTCTGACTCATTCATTTCCAACTTCCTATGTTCACCAGCCATTCTCAAGTTGAAATTTAAAGTTTTAATGACCCAATAGGCCTTGTGTTCCATTTCGACTGGCAGGTGGCAAGCCTTTCCATAGACAAGCCGATAGGGAGACATGCCCAAAATAGTTTTAAAGGCAGTGCAGTATGCCCATAGGACATCAGTCAATCTTTTGAACCAATCCTTCCTATTTAGGTTGACCATTTTTTCTAAAATATTCTTGATCTCCCTATTGGCTAGTTTGACTTGGCCATTTTTTTGTGGGTGACAGATAGTGGATACTTTATGAATGACGCCATATTTGAATATTAGAGATGCAAATGGCCTATTACAGAAGTGTGATCCACCATCACTAATCATTACACGAGGCATCCCAAACCTTGAAAAGATATTCTCTTTGAGAAACTTGACTACGACTCGGTGGTCATTAGTTTTGGTCGGGATAGCCTTCATCCATTTGGACACATAGTCCACTTCCAGGAGGATGTACAGATAACCAAAAGACATAGGAAAAAGACCCATGAAGTCGATGCCCCAACAGTCAAATATTTCTATGACAAGGACAAGGGAGAGGGGCATCATGTTTCCTCGGGTCACACTACCCAAGCGTTGGCATCTATCGCATCCCTTACAAAACGAAACACAATTTTTGATAAGAGAGGGCCAGTAAAAACCTGATTGAAGAATTTTGACCGAAGTCTTTTTCATCAAAAAATGTCCACCGCAAGCTTGTGAATGGCAAAATGCAAGGATGTCCCGATGTTGATTTTTAGGTACACATCTTCTCATCATTTGATTGGGACAGTACTTGAACAAATACGGGTTGTTGCAGTAGAAGTACTTCACATCTGCCATAAATCATCTTCGATCTTCTGGGCTCCATTGCGGTGGTATCTGTCCTATTACAAGGTAGTTACATAGATCAGCATACCAAGGACATACAAAATGAATTGAAAACAAATGCTCATGAGGGAAAAAGTCAGGGATAGAAATGTGTTCATCGGCCTCTTGCACCACAAGTCGGGATAAATGATTCGCCACCACATTCTCAACTCCTTTCTTGTCCTTGATCGTCAAGTCGAATTCTTGTAGGAGGAGTATCCACCTAATGAGTCTCGGTTTAGCATCCTGCTTTGACAACAAATACTTCAAAGCAAAGTGATTAGTAAAACCAATAATATGTGTACTGAT